AAGCCAGTAAGTTTTTATTGTGAGACTGGTACAAGCCAGTAAGTTTTTATTGTGAGACTGGTACAACCCAGTAGGTTTTATTGTGAGACTGGTACAAGCCGGTAAGTGTTTATTGTGAGATTGGTACAACCCGGTAGGGTTTTTTTTTTGTGAGACTGGTACAAGCCAGTAAGTTTTTATTGTGAGACTGGTACAACCGGGTAGGTGTTTATTGTGAGACTGGTACAACCTCATAAGTTTTATTGTGAGACTGATACAATATATACTTTGACAATTAAATTTACGGTTTCACACTAAAAGAAAAAAGATGTATTTGTTTTATGGCTGGTTACGTGGAAATTAAAACTCGGACCTCCTGCTAAAGCAGTGCCACTCTATGTTAATTTCTTGTTTACCTCGATACATGTAATGTCGTTGGTGTTTAACAGAGGCATTGAACAGCTATCAGCTTGGGAAACACTTGTTTTCAAAGTAGTTACTTTATGTACAAAAATTCAGGAAGTTCTGACAGTAAAACTTTCATAGTTACGTCCTCATGCCAATCACGTCTCTCAAACAGTATACGAAAAATCAAGTTTTAATGTAGTTGAACAGTGAGGAGGAGTGTCAAATACATGTTAGAGTAAATAGTGCATGACTTCTTAGTGTAGTTTCACTTAATCACGTTGAAATATAAAGTGAAGGACTTGTTAATGTAGCTTTAACTAATAATCTTGGAGAACGTAGTGCGTAGTTATTTAAAAAATCTAATCTATATAAAAGCAAGAGTTGGCCACGTCACGTCACGTTTGATTTCTCCAAATAGGAAGAGTCATAAAAGCCAAAATGCATTTATACAGATAAAATAGTTCGATTACTGTCTGCCTATTACGATTTTAGTGACGGGAGTGCAAGGGGCCGTGAGAGTGGTGCCGTGAAACCTTATAAGTGTAGTGAGTGTTGGTATAATAAACTTAAAGTAAAGACGTAGTGTGGGATCATCTAGCCTCGAGCCATGTGCATAAAATTTAT